TTTGCTGTTATGTTAAACTTATATTAAAGTTTTTCTTCATTACCCATTCAAGCTGTCTCCAGCCATTACATACATACAACGTTACCTGACATGTAACATATAAATACAGTTTTATCTCACCTGTAACATATACATTCAACGTTACCTTACGTGTAACATATAAACAGAGTATTACCTCACTTGTAGCATGTACATACACAACACAGATGTATGTATTTTAGTCATTTATATGTCCATCCTCAGTGGCTCAGCGGTAAGTTTGGGGGTTTATAATTCCAAATTTCGGCCTCGGAAAAGTTTATAGTATATGGGTATAATTTCGACCATTGACTATATATACTATATATATATTGCTTGTGCTTGTTATATTATTCTACGTTTATGTTTCGTAGTAATGGATCCTATTTGTTCTTTGCTTAGGTCAGACTCTTAAGTTTATCTTAAAATGAAATTATTCACTTAAAAAATACCTGCAATGAACGATAGGGGGCCCAACGTCCGGATACTGGTCCATGTAAACTCGTACTCTTCGTCGAAACTCCAGTAAAGCACTGGGAAATGGCACAGTGTGGGAAGGCCAATTGGTAAAATGGAGCTGTGTAATTTCTCGTTCGTTCCCGTTCTACACGTAATTGGAAAAAGTCCTAACAGTCTATAGACATAAACTAAAATACATTATATAATAATTTAGCTTTCAATTAAGTATGTAAAATAGCTTTCAAATACCGAAATATGTAAATAGAAATATAGTTATTCATTGAAGACGCACAAAATAGGTATATTATGCTATACAACAAAACATACAACTATTATCATATGAACATTTCAGCCAGTGTTTTAAAAGTTTCAGTTTCACCTTCTGAAGGCAAATTGTGTTCAGTTTTAGCCAACGTTTTTTTGCCAGCGACCTCTATATTTTGTATTTTGCTAGAGCTTTAATAGTTTTCTGTGATTAACCATTTGTGTTTCATAAATGTCACTTTATTGTTTTCATAACCTAAATGTTTTAAATATTAAAGTATTTATTCTTTAAAATGTTTCATGACCCACATCCGTCTTTTTTGTAAAAATATCATTATGTGTAAAAAAAACAAAAACAATAACAACATATACTAAACCGTTTCTTCCTGCTTTAAAAAAAAGTTTGCATCTAAAAGCCCTCTGTCGTGAAGATATCCCGTAACTGTTGAATTGAACACACTATCTTTGGAATTTATTAAATAAATCAATTATTACGACCTACACACGTTCAGAAATGTGTAATTCTTAATAGTAATATTTCACAATTTTCTTATATGGTCAACTAAATGATTTTACAACCGATAAAGAGAAAGGTTTAATTTTAGCTATTACGCTTACTAAAATAAGTGGCCCGGCATGGCCAGGTGGTTAGGGCGCTCGAATCGCAATTTGAGGGTCGCGGGTTCGAATCCCCATCACACCTAAACAGCCGTGGGGACGTTATAAGTGACGGTAAATCCCACTACTTCTTGGTAAAAGAGTAGACCAAGAGTTGGCGGCGGGTGGTGATGACTAGCTGCCTTCCCTCTAGTCTTACACTGCTAAATTAGGGACGGCTAGCACAGATAGCCCCGTGTAGCTTTTCAAAACAAGCAAACAAACAAAACAATACTAAAATAAGTTTGATAAATGTTATTGTTTCGGGCATGCCCTAGAAGGTTAGCATGTCGAGCTATGGATCAAAGGGTTCAGGGTTCAAGATATGATGCTGACGAACTTGACCCATACTATCAATTGTAGGTACGTTATAAAAGTGACAGTCAATCCCGTTATTCGGTTCAAAGAGCCGGACAAAACCTTTGTGGCGGCAGGTACCAGTGCCTGTCTGTCTTCCCTTTCTGGTCAGCAGTTCAAAATTAAGAACATCTACACCTGAACACTAGAGGTCTCTGTTCAAACTTTTAGCCTACTTGCGCTTAAGGTGCTGTCCAGATTGAAACATTCCAAATCCAATTATATGTATATATAGTAATCTGGAAATATGTTGCACTATTTTATAACAAAAAAAAACACATTGACAAAAAACTGGAAATATCAAATAATTAAGAAACATTAATATTGTGTATAATAAGTATAATATTATATATTATCTAAATATGACATTTAATTTTAAATCGGAGCAACCTGAGTATGACGAACCTTCTTGATATGAACTGTACGAATAACGAAGTTAGCTAAATTTTCCTCGGACAAAAGGGTCAGTTCCAGATCTCCGTAACATTCAGGATGGTGAAGTTCGGAAGGCCAGTACTGAACACACATAACCTGAAAAAAAGGTCCAATGGTCATCACGGTCACTACAGATTAAATACCACACTGGAGCAATGTAGTTATTGGGAAGGCGATGATATAGTCATTTAAGAAGGAAGATATAAATGCCTTGTGCTGTGTCGATGGTAATATTTATTGTATCGAGGGTTAATCGTGTCGTTAACATGATGTTCTTCAGTATAGCCAAGAAAGGTTTGTCCACTCGTGGTTTATGAAGTATTCTGTTGGTGCCATGGGTAAAACATGACGTTTTATTTGTCTTTATTTGCAACAACTAATAGTGACTACAACGTGATATCAATACATATTTCAATTGTAATGATTGGCCTTTGATTGAAACCTTGCACGTTATAATTTTTTAAGATTTTTTTCCTATTTCTGTACTAATTAACTTCCACGTTGTTGTATCTATTTTTGTTACAATTAATCCTTTCAACCTAACAAACAAAAATTAGCCTTATCTTAGAGAAAATATCCAGAATCATATTTCCATTATTATATATAAAAAAAAATCGTTATTTAACAAAAAAAAATGTGCATTTATCACACTTAACATGCTGTATGCATATATCGTAACAGGAAGCAGAGGAGTTTCGTTAGGGAATCATACTTTGTAATTCTTCGTGCATCCTTGGATTAGGCGCGTAATATTTGTTTTATTTTTTAGATGATATTGTTTAGTGCCTTGAGACTTTTGTGTTTGACCTTTTTACCTCTTTTCTTATTGTCTAAGTGATTAAAACGTTCACGACCAGGTTGAAACTTACTCTTATAAAGTCAAACACTTTTGTCAACATCACGATAACATAAGTGTTTTGTTCCCACACCATTCGCCAAAAGTCAACAACTGTCGTCTCATTCGGACCTGGGGAGGAGTTAAAAAAAAGACCAAATTATGTTTTGTATTTGTTGTCTTATTCAAGAACGAATTTTTTTTTTACCAAAGCATG